GAGCTGAAGGCAGACGCTTAATGACTGAGCCACCCAGGCACCCTAACTCATACATTTTTTTTTTTAAAGATTTTTATTTATTTATTTGAGACAGACAGAATGAGAGACAGAGAGCATGAGAGGGGAGAGGGTCAGAGGGAGAAGCAGGCTCCCTGCTCGGCGGGGAGGACTCCAGGATCATGACCTGAGCCGAAGGCAGTCGCCTAACCAACTGAGCCACCCAGGCGCCCGGGATTTTTGTCTTAATAGCTTCGTGTTTCCTGTATGTGGCACAACACCAAGGCACCCTGTGGACGCCCAAAGGTGCTCATTCAGTGTTTATTGAATGTTCTTGAACGCCACTGGAAGAGATGTCAGCAGTTATATAGGAAGATCAAATGAAGAAAGCCTTAACACTAATGATTAAGGGTTTTAATTAGATAAGAATATCATGACCCTTTAGAGAAGAAACTGAATATACAGTCAGGGAGGTCACGAGAGAAGTTCCTACAGCAAGACTGGTGGGAGATGGGAAAGCTCCCGGAACAATGGTATGGGTAAAGAAGGGAAAAGGGAAGAGCCAGCAATGCTGGATAGTTGGGTGACTAAAATCTTCCCAAACTAGCTTTTCTGAAAGCCAAGTTAAAAAGCAGATGAAGCGGAAGTTTAATAATAGTATCTTCTTTGGTTATCCCTCTTTTCAGACTGCATAAACCAAGAGCCCAAAGACAGCAGCCCTGGAGAAGAATGTGATGGTGAGAAAAGAAAGCCCCCTCTCCTTTCTGACTTGTGGGGTTTAGTTTAAGATATGTGAGCCTCATGCTGGGACGTGCAATTTCCAGGCTGGGAAAGCAAAGGTGGGAGGGAGTGGGGGGAGGACTTCTTAGGGTCAAGTCCAGCCTCTGTCAACTCATAGCTGTATGACCCTGGGCAAGTGACCTGATTTCTCCAAGCCTCAGTTTCATCATTTGTAAAATGGACATAATAACTATACATACCTCACAGATGTGCTGGAAAAATGCTGATAAATCTCTTATCCCAGTGCCTGGTAAATAGCAAGCTCTTGATAAATAAAAGCTATTTATTATTATTTTTCCACATACAAAATAAGTAACATGTTGCATAGAATCACCATGGTTCCCAATTTTATTGAGATATAATTGACATGCAACATGTGTTGAAGTGTGCCACATAATGATTTGATATCTGTATATATTGTGAAATGATTATCACAGTAAGTTTAGTTAATAGCCTCACATAGTTAAACAAATTTTTTTCCTAGTGATAAGAACTTTTAAGACAGACTGTCTTAGCAACTTCCAAATATACAATACAGTGTTGTTAATTATAGTCACCCTGTTGTACATTATTACATCCCCAGGACTTATTTATCTTATAACTGGAAGTTTGTACCTTTTGACTCCCTTTACCCATTTCCCCCACCCCACCACTTCTTTTTAAAAATGCTCCCAGTCTAGAGATCTCTCTTTGCAGAATCTGCATCCCTACCAAGAAGTCCAGGATTGTGATTTTTGCCTGTCATGTCCTATGTGCATATTAACTGGGCTGTACAGCTCTTGTGTTCTGTTAGCATTCCTGTGGCACCAGCCTGCAGCATGTTTGCCTTTGACTGTGGCCCCTACAGATTGTGACAGCTGTGTGATGACACTCTTGAACGACCTGGCCACCATGGGTGATGAACTCCACCTGGTCAAGTCTCAGCTTCACGGCCTGAGGGCCAGTGCCGGCTCGCTGGAGCAGATGAAGCACTTGGAAACCCAGATCAAGGACCTGAGGGTAAATACCCTGGGCACCCAGCACAAATGCCAGGCCCAGAATAGCTCCTTGGTGCATAGATGCTGCATGCATGAGTGCCCCTCAAGCAGGAGAGGGGGAGATGTTGACTGTTTAAGGCTCGGGGGGCTTTCCTTTCCCTGATTCAAATGATGACTAGGTTTTTACTGCTGGAAAGTACTAGTGAACACACAAAACTGATACTTCTAAGTGAACATTCTTTACTTACTGCATGTTTCTGGGCTAATTTTTCTTCTAGAACCCTTAGCTAAGTATCTTGCATTCAGAAGAATCAAAAACAGATTTGTATTACATTGGTATTCATTCTTCAAATGTTTGATGGAAATCTCCAATGAAGCCCTGTGGGCCTGGGATTTTCTCTGTTGGAAGATTTTTTTGTTTTTTGAGTTTTGTTTTTTTCTTTCAATAAACCATAAGTCCAATCTTTAAAAAATAGATATGGGACTATTGGGGTTATCTGTTTCTTCTTGAGTGATATTTGGTAATTTGTGCCTTTCAAATAATTTTTTCATTTCATCTAAATTATCAAATGTATTGACATAAAACTGTTCATAGTTTTCCATCTTATCCTTTTAATATCTGCAAAATCTGTAGTAATACCCTCTCATGCATTCCTGATACTGATAATTTATGTCTTAGCTCTTTTTCTTGATTATTCTGGCTAGAGGTTTATGTTTTAATGATCTTCTTATTTCACTGATTTTTCCCCATTATTTTTCTGGTTTTGATTTCATTGATTTCTGCTGTTATTTATATTTTTTCTTCCTCCTGCTTGCTTTGGGGTTTAATTAGCTATTCATTTTCTAGATTCTTAAGATGAAAGCTTATCTTACTGATTCAAACCTTTCTTGTTTCCAATATAAGCATTTAATGTTATGAATTTCCCCCAAAGCACTACCTTGGCTATATTGCACACATTTTGAAGTGTTGTGTTTTCATTTTTATTCAGTTCAAAAGATTTTCTAATTTCCTTATGACATATCTTTGATCCCTGAATTATTTGGAAATGTGTTGTTTAATTTCCAAACTGGGCATTTTCCAGGTAACTTCTTATTATCGATTTCTAATTTAATTCCATTGTGTTCAAAGAACATACTTTATATGATTCCAGTTTTTAAAAATGTGTTGAGGTTTGTTTCATAGCCCAGCATATGGTATATGGCAATATGGCAATATTCTATGTGCACTGGGAAAGAAGGTGGCCCAGAGGATATCCAAGAGGAGAAGTAATAGGGCCTGAAGTGCCCCACAGAGCCAGAGTCAGGCTCCCTGGGGGAAACTGAGGGCACTTCTGCCTATGAATGGAACCTTAAAAAAAAAAAACAACCTTGAAACTGCCCAGTGTTCATTGTTGAGCAATGAGTATATGAGAAACTAGAAAAGCTACAGACCTAGACATGATTCACAAACCAGGGTCTGTACTGGAATGTGACATCCTCAACATCACCATAGGGTACAAGTCCTAAGCTGCCAACGTAAGACCTGGTTCTGGCCTTGGGGATCATGGGTGGGAGTGGTGATGACCATAAGATCACTGGTCAGGGCACAGAGAGTGCAGAGAGAAAGGGAGACAATATTTACCTGTAGACATTGGAATAGATAAATATCAACACAAAAGACATCCAACAGAAGCAACCATTAAGAGATGAGTTCCCTCTAGGTAAAGTGAAAATCCTAAGACAATCTGAAAATTACTTTGAAGAATAACGATTCAATTGAAAGGACAAGAAATTAGAAAATTGTTAAAAACACTAGAAACCAAACAAGAGGGGTAGGTATGAAAAGATCCAGTTAAAAATCATGGAAATGAAAAAAAAATTTACTCATTGAAGTGAAAGAATTCAGTAGAGGAGATAAACCCTAAACTAGATATAGTGAAAGAGGCATTGGGGAAAGTTTAATAAGTGCTCTTGAAATGGCTGATTCTAAACCCATTAGTGCTTATAACTGAGTATACAGTTGACCCTTGAACAATGTGGAGGTTTGAGGCACCGACCCCCTGCACAGTTGAAAATCTGCATATAAATTCTGATTCCTCAAAAATTTAACTATTAGTAAGACCACAAGCCTTAGCAATAGCAAAAATAATTAACACATATTTTGTGTATGTATTATATACTGTATTCTTATAATAATACCTAACTTTTTCTAATTTTTTTGTTATTTCTAGGCTACATGGTTTATCTTTGAGTTTTTTCAAATTGTTACAAATCTCCAAAAAATTTTCCAAAATATTTATTGAAAAAAAATCCAGTTGTAAGTGGACATATGCAGTTCAAACCTATGTTGTTCAAGGGTGAACTTTATATGGCAAAAAATCATGCTAGAAAAATGGCTCTTTTCCATCCCATCAGGGTAAATTTTAGCCCATGATTTACAGGCTTAATATAGAGAGGAAAAAGGCCATTTTGTTTTGAGAGAAAAAGAAGTCACTGGAGTCACTTTGATGTCATCAATATAACCCTGCACTTCTTCAATGAAGGACAGGGAACCAGCATTTTAGTGCCGGTCTTATGAGCCAGACTCTGTGATAAGTGCTTTATTGAATTCTCACAATGTCATATAAGGAAAATAGTATTATCTTCATTTACCAGGCATGTTAAAGCTATGTAACTTGCCCACCATCACACAGCTAGTAAAAGGTGGTTCTAGAATTTGAACCAAGATCAAATTCCAAAGACCACGCTTTACCCACTGTACTTATCCAGGTCTATATAATGATATGCCTCAGCTTTCCCATAGTAAAATTAAAATAGAACTGTCTTCTTGCTAGATCACACATACACTGTGAAAATTCCCTAGGAATAAAAGTGTGAGAAGGGGAATAACATTTTTGAATGTTCATGTGTACGTGACACTTTAGAATATCATCAAAACAACCCTGCAGCTTAATATTATACTCCCCAATTTACCGATGAAGGAGGTAAAACTCAGTGAGGCTTATCTACAAAGTGGCAGACCTCAGGTTTGGACCTAAGCTGTAAAGCCTGTGTTTTCCCCCCAACATTGGCTCTCTCACATGCAAGTGGAGGTAATAGTATTGCTTTTTCCTGTACCTTTCTTCAAGGTATTAACAAGTTTTTTTCCCAAAAAAATGAAAACAATCACTACTCTAGATATTATGTGCAACAATGCACAAAATGACAGGGAACCTGGATTCTGGTCCCTAAGCAATCACTGATCAGCTCTACAGCTGTGGCATGAACAAGTCACCCAATTTCTTTGGGCTTCCATTTTCTCATTTGTAATATGACAGCATTCGATTAAATGAGCTCTCAGTTCCCTTCCTGCCATTAGGTTCTTTGAATTGAATGGGTCCTTCATTAAAGTAACCTTAGGCCCTGCTTTTAATATCATAAAGTTGAATATAGGTTCAAAGCAATGGAATGTATTATAGTCTGGAAAGTAGTACATTAGGTAGGTGGTACCACCCTCATTTCTTTAAGGTTAGGTCACTAACTCAAGTAAGGTATCTCTTGTCTCCTTATGTTTTTAAGTTTATTTTAGAGCCTTGTCACAATTTGCGTCATAAAGTAGATTCTTGGGGCACCTGGTTGGCTCAGTCGGTTGGGTGTCTGACTCTTGATTTCGGCTCAGGTCATGACCTCAGGGTCGTGAGATGGAGCCCCGTGTCGGGCTCTGCACTTAGCACTGACTCTGCTTAAGATTCTCTCTCTCCCTCTCCCTCCGCCCCTTCCCCACACTCTCTATCTCTAAATTCATAAATAGATAAATACATAAATAAATAAAATCTTAAAAAAAAAGTAGATTCTTCAAGTAGCCGATTTCAAAGAATCCAGTCTTTTCCTGTGGACCAACGCTGGGCTTGCTAAATGAATCTTTGTGTATCATTACCAGGATTACCAAGTGGATAGGACTTATGCCAAATTTCTGCTCTAATGTGAGAATAACTTTGCATGTTACTTTCAGAATCAGTTACTCACCTACCGTTCCGCCATTTCAAATCATGGATTAAAAATGGATGGTCTAGAAAAGGAACTGGGTAGTTTGAATCGTGAATTTGAAACTTTGCAAGAAAAGGTAATGTTAAGTCAATAATGTTAACTATTGTTGTTGTCCCCAAAATATTGTTTGTATTCCCCCATCAACATGGTTTGTTGCTAATCAATGTATTTTTCATACAGGTTCAAGTAAATTCTAGAAAAGCACAAGCATTACAGAACAATGTTGATCGGACAACCCAAAGTGCAAAAGAGCTGGACACAAAGATTAAAAATGTCATCCAGAATGTGCACAGTAAGGAGTTACTCAGTCCAATTAAATGTTTTTTATTACATAGCCTGTTCTGTGCCCTGAAAGAATTTCTCCTTAAGAGTTCAACATTATGAAAAAGATCCTGTAGTGACACTAAAAAACTAATATGAACCCTCCATAAAAATCTCAGTGTTTTTTTGTTTTTTAGTAGTCGACTAGAGTCCAGAATTCCCAGTTTAATAAACTACTCAACGTTTTCTAGTTCTCTTGAAGCAGATCTCTGGGACAAGTGGGGAAGGAAACAACCTGCCTTCAGGGGATTTTTCCAGAGAGTGGGCTGAAGCAGAGCGCATGATGACAGAGCTACGGAACCGCAACTTTGGAAAGCACCTGAGAGAAGCAGAAGCTGAAAAAACAGAGGCTCGGCTCTGTAAGGACATTCCCAGATCCTTGCTTGCAGTCCATTCTAATGGGCTTGAAATACGGCGTGCTAAGTACAATGTCAGGTCCCCGGGTACGGGTGGAGAGGCTCGTCATTTTACCATACAGGACTTTTTTTATTTTAAAGATTTATTTATTTATTTTAGAGATGGGGGGGCGCAGAGAGAGAGGGAGAGAATCTCAAGCAGACTCTGTGCTGAGCCAAAATCAAGAGTTGGACGCTCACCTCACTGAGCCACCCATGCGCCCCAGCATACACGACTTTTAGAGCATCATGTGAAAATGGGTAGCCCTTCCACGCTTCCGAGAGGTGGTAAGAATATAACATCTTACCATCATGCAAGAAAAAAAGATTCTTCTCCTAAGACATTAGACACTGAGACCTCCTTTTCCTTTTTAACTACATCTTGATTCTTCCTTCATTCAGCTCCACCCAACTTTCTCATGATACCATTTTTTAATGGTCACCTCACCACCGTCGGGGTTTGGAATCACAAATTGATATTAACACTACTATTGCAGAAACCAAACACTGGGCATAGATACTGAATATATCTAAAGGTTCTGCTTAGGGAAAATGCCTCATTAGTTCAAAACTGTGAGAAATATAAGTCTGTTGCATAGTTTTTCAAATACTGATCTTTCTTCTCTAGTAAAATGGTATGTCAATGGTTAATATACAGAAGGTAACAGTTTTCTTTTAGCATTTGTGGTGTTCAAATTTAATCTTAGTCTTTGCTTTTGCCTGAGGGGAGAGGGTTAGTTTGCAGTTAGTAGTAGTAGTAGTTAGTTGGTAGTGTTAGTAGTAGTGTTCGGAGCGTGTGCTTTATACTCTGCAGGTCTTACTCAAGTGCCGAGACTGACTGGCCATACAACTGAGTTTCGCGGGCTGTCCTTTTCCGTATCTGAAACCTCAGACTAATGGGACTGTTTTCATGTGGGTTATGTGTGCACACACAGCAGGCACTGCATAAATGTTAGTTGCCTTTCCTGTTCACTTGCAAGTTCAAGGAAAACCATGAAAATGATTGGAAACTCAATCTTCTGTAGTCTTTATAGTTGAGCTTCAAGGTACTCATCTCTCAAGTGAAAAAACGTGATGTATTCCAGTGCTGAGTCGGATAAAGAGCTGGCTGGAAGAGCACCAAGGGGAGAACAGGGCACTTGTTCAGAGTATATGGGATTCTTTACATGACTACGAAGCCAAACTCCGTGACCTGCATGCCGCTCTACAGAAGGCAGCTGCGCAAGCAAAGCAGGCCACTGGCCTCAACCGAAAAAATGAGAAGGCTTTGGAATCCATCAAGGTGGGTCCACGGTCAGCATCTGCACGCTTTCATTAATGACAAGGCTGAGGGAGCGGGGATCTTTATCATTAACAAAGTGGCCTGGCCGGGGGCCCCTCTGTACATTGAGTCTGTGCGCAACTGTCCGTCCAACAGATGCTCATCAAACGGGAATCAGGAATTAAAGGCAATACCAAAGTCATTCCTATTCCTCAGCCACCAGAAAAGATTGTGAACTTAAACCACAGAGAAAGCGGAACAAATTGCTTTACCCCTGGCCCGGGCTAATGGAGTACTGGAGGAATAATGTTGCCAAGTAGATGAGAAATGAAACCAATATTGCTATAATTAAATCCAAGTATATAATATATGTTTTAAATAACTGGCTTTTTGTGTCAGCTGGGTAAACATCATTATCATAGTCACCGGCAAAGGCATTTTAAGCCATTATCTGCCTTACAGGAAGTAGATTAAAATACGGGCCTCATGCAGGAGCTGCAGAGACAGGGTTTGGGGCTCGAGATTTCATAGTATATGTATTTTTCCAGTGGTGCACATTGTATGCTGAGATAGCAAAACGAGTGTGAGGTGTTATAAAATGGCAGTAAGGTCAGAGTGGAATACCACAGGGCTGACCCCCAACAGGAAGAATTTGGTAAAAGAAAATAAATAATATCTTAGTAGATGGCAATACCCTTAACTCCCGAAGCCTCTTTAGACAGCGACTCTGCTGTTGGAAGTCACTGATGATGATGGAGTGTGATCCACTTTTGTGGGTCTCAGAGCTTTGGCGGCTCCTCGCCTGGCCTTCCCAGGTCCTGTGTGCCCTCTTGTTGAGGACGTTGAAGCACCTCTGCGTCCTCATGGGGCCTGGCACGTAGAGCATGGTGGTGGTTGGTGCTGATTTGTTTAGTGACAATCCCTCGTTCTGCTTCACAACCCAGAGCTGACTCATCTCACTGGCTGAGTCGCACTGGTATAGAAAGCTGCTTCTACAGTGCTAACTATTGTTTCCCGGGCATGGAGTTTGAGGAAACCATGCAACCATGACAACACACCCACACAGCAAAGTGAACTGATTTCCCCTCACTCTGAGGTTGCCTAGATGATCTTTAAGTTCAAGAGAACGTTCTGGCTCTGAAATTACTTCTATGCTGTGGTCTAGTTATGCCTCTGCCTTCTGATAGCATATCATGTAGTTCAAGCAGATATTCTTTTTATTCTCTCCAGACACAGGTTCAAGAAATGAATTCCCTGCAGAGTGATTTCTCCAAGTACCTAGCCACCGCGGACTCTTCCTTACTGCAGACCAACATGCTTCTGCAGCGGATAGGGAAAAGCCAGGAGGTAGAGACAAAACTCGTTCTCCAGAAAATTGAAAAAACGTTCAGATCATATCCGAGGAAACTAGGAGATAGGCTAGCCTGTGTTTTCTCTGCAACATATGTCTTTTAGATGGAAGGAAATAAACCAAAGTGTTTACCCTTGGGGCGCAGGGGTGCGAATGAAGTGTCCTCCCTGTGTCTATTCATACCACCTAATTAGCCCACAGTGAGCAAATGTTGCTTTTGTGATAACAAAACAAAATTGCAATGCTGTTTTTAAAATATCAAGCCTACTTTTATTAGTGGGACCTATTTAGGACTGATCAAAGATTGACCACATTAGCAGCCCAACAGGTATTTGGAAAATATCTTTTATAATAGCTATTTTTAAATAAGAAAAAACTTTTAAACCAGAAAAAAAACAACTTTACACTAATGATAACTGTGTGCTTTTATAAAATTTATCAAAGGGGCTACCCACCACAAGAAAAATGTTCAAATGGTGGGAAAACTTAGAAAAATATTATCAGCACCACTACTGAAGTAATGCATCCCGGGAGCCTGAAGTTTATGACAGAGTTCAAGAAAACGGCATGTACATTCTTTGCTTAAATTGACACTGTCTCTGTTTACCTGAAAACATAGGAATATGAAAAGTTAGCTGCCACTTTAAATGAAGAAAGACACGGGCTAAGTGGCAAAGTGAGAGAACTTTCCCAGTCCGCCAGCAAAGCGTCCCTGGTGGCGGAGGCAGAAGCGCATGCGCAGTCTTTACAAGCGTTGGCAAAGCAGCTGGAGGAGTGAGTGACCCCCGAGGTCTAACTGCACGGGTGGCTGGAGCCTAGCGTGAAAGCCTCCCCGACAGCTGGGTCTCCAGAACAGGGTGGAGGGTGGGACCCAGGGCCCAGGGCCCAACCCCACCTGCAACAGGGGTTTGATTCCCAGATGCGTCCTCGCCACCTCTGGTCTCCCATTTGCTCACTGAATCCGGGCGGCGGGGCGCGGTGATGGAGGGGGCCTCAGCTGCAAGCAGTGGGGGCTGCTGGAGCCCTTCACCCACACTGTCTTCCAGGATCAAGAGGAACACCAGTGGGAACGAGCTGGTGCGCTGTGCGGTGGATGCCGCCACCGCCTATGAGAACATCCTCAACGCGATCAAAGCGGCTGAGGATGCCGCCAACAAGGCCACCAGCGCGTCCGAGGCTGCCCTCCAGGTGGGCACCTGCACTGGCACCTTTTCTTTTTTGTAAACACTGAGGACGATAACCAAGCATTATTTTAAATCAGAACTTGTATGGAATAGACTTGAACTTGCTCTAGATGTGGACCGTTTCTGCATTCACGTGACCGTTTTGATATATGTAGCATAGTTGAAAGAACCATTTGTAAAACCAAATGGAAATGACACTGATTATCAATGATGAGTAGTATATCCTGCCCCTTTCTAGGAATGATATAGGCTGTGATTAAGTATTGACATTTCCCAAAAAAGATTTTATATACAGTTTGGTAAACATTTATTTCCTGCCATTTGTCTTTTTTTTTTTTTTTAAGATTTTATTTATTTATTTATTTGAGAGAGAGAGAGAAACAGCATGAGAGGGGAGAGGGTCAGAGGGAGAAGCAGGCTC